CTATTCTAAAGTGCTTTGTACTTGTCTCAAAAACCAAATCCTACGATGATAGATGCAAGGTACACCCGCAGACTCATTCATTGTATATACTAAGCTATGATATGTTTATTAATGCTTAGCAAAATAAACATGAATATGTCTAAAAAAAAATTTGTGGAATGAATGATCTCAGAACTCTTAAGAGGTCTCTAGAATCATTTAATTCATACACACCTCCTCTTCATTTCATACCTGTTGAATTATTTTAAATGTTTTTGTTGTTGTTGTTTGTTTGTTTTTAACAATAGCCAAGCCAGGAAAGATTGGTGAAACAGATGAACTAGGGCCATTTGTAACTACAGCAGCCAGCCACTGGTCTAGCCTGCCAACGTGTGCCAAGGGCAGGACATCCCTGCCCTTCAGCTCAGGCACCCCCAACCCTGCACCCCTGAGATTTCTCAGTGAAAATCAACAGCAGCAAAGCTCTACCCCTGCAGCACCTCTTCAATAGTAAACACATCTGAATAAAATGTCTTAGCACCAGCTGATCAGGGTATACATAATTGTGATGCAACATTATAAATAATCTAAATCATGGCAAAGTCTGTATAAAGTTTTTAGATTTAACATAGAATAGGGGGAAAATCCAAATGCAAACCCACAGTTCAACACCACGTTTATGTTGAAAATCTCACAAAGATGGCCAAAAAGGGCTGGGATAATGAATATCCCTCCTGCCCCCAAACAATTTTTCTTCAGAATCTACGCTATTTCATCTTTTTGATGAAGTGTGAGGAAAATCTATGGAAAGACTGTAGAAAACTGTGAATGTAGGAGACAACTAACAATAATTCAAACGATCCTTTTCCATAGAAATAAAAATGAACCTTGCAGGTGGAAGGCAATGGATTTTTGCCCCGTGGACAAATGGCTTTGCACTTATCTGTACATTCACTTGGGCTCCCCTTACTGCCTAAACATATGCTGCTGAACCATTTCCATTGGGAAATTTCAGGGGAGTGGAGGGTGGGGCGGTGCCTGAGCTAGAGGGCTGGAGTGTCTTTGTGATTCTCAGATCAGATCTTTGGCATGTGCTCACTTCATATCTGTGTGAGTCATGTTACCTTTTCAAAAAGTGAAAATTCTCTGAACACAGATTTTAATGAAGTGCCCAGACCTAGCATTTAACTCCACCTGGTTGGGAATGTTCGCCCCCAAATGGGACTATGCTCTCACAATCCCCTGTAGGATCACAGAACCAAGGCCTTAGCACCGCAAGTCCTAAGGTTAACCCCAAGCTTAAAGGCCCAGGGACCCCCAGTCAACTTCCCTTTAGAACACCTATAAATTCTAAGTTGTAGAAATATCTGGATAGTCTAGAAGAGTAAGGGCATTGGACATTCTGAAGACTGGATCTTACCAAGCTTGTTTTTTGAAAAGGACGTATAAAAACCCATGGTGAGGGCTTCCCTGGTTGCGCAGTGGTTAAGAATCCGCCTGCCAATGCAGGGGACACGGGTTCGAGCCCTGGTCCAGGAAGATCCCACATGCCGTGGAGCAACTAAGCCCATGCGCCACAACTGCTGAGCCTGCGTTCTAGAGCCCACGTGCCACAACTATTGAAGCCCGTGTGCCTAGAGCCCGTGCTCCGCAACAAGAGCAGCCGCCACAATGAGAAGCCCACGCACCGCAACGAAAAGTAGCCCCCACTCACCGAAACTAGAGAAAGCCTGCATGCAGCAACGAAGACCCAATGAAGCCAAAAATAAATAAATAAAATAAATAAATTTATTTAAAAAAACCACGGTGTTTTGATTTGCATTTCTCTAATAATTAGTGACGTTGAGCATCTTTTCATGTGCCTCTTGGCCATCTGTATGTCTTCTTTGGTGAAATGTCTGTTTAGGTTTTCTACCCATTTTTTAATTGGGTTGTTTGTTGTTTTGATATTGAGCTGCATGAGTTGTTTGTATATTTTGGAGATTAATCCTTTATCCGTTGTTTCATTTGCAAATATTTTCTCCCATTCTGAGGGTTGTCTTTTCATCTTGTTTATGGTTTCCTCTGCTGCGTAAAAGCTTTTAAGTTTCATTAGGTCCCATTTGTTTATTTTTATTTTCATTACTCTAGGAGGTGGGTCAAAAAAGATCTTGCTGTGGTTTATGTCAAAGAGTGTTTTTCCTATGTTTTCCTCTAAGAGTTTTATAGTGTCCGGTCTTATATTTAGGTTTTTAATCCATTTTGAGTTTATTTTTATGTATGGTGTTAGGGAGTGTTCTTATTTCATTCTTTTACATGTAGCTGTCCAATTTTCACAGCACCACTTATTGAAGAGGCTATCCTTTCCCCATTGTATGTTCTTGCCTCCTTTGTCATAAATTAGGTGACCATATGTGTGGGTTTATCTCTGGGCTTTCTATCCTGTTCCATTGATCTATATTTCTATCTCTGTGCCAGTACTATACTGTGTTGATTACTGTAGCTTTGTAGTATAGTTTGAAGTCATGGAGTCTGATTCCTCCAGCTCCGTTTTTCTTTCTCAAGATTGTTTTGGCTATTCATGGTCTTTTGAGTTTCCATACAAATTGTAAAATCTTTAGTTCTAATTCTGGAAACAACCTAAATGTCCAACAACAGATAAATAGATAAAGAAGATGTGGTACATATATACAATGGAATATTACTCAGTCATAAAAAGGAACAAAACTGGGTCATTTGTAGAGATGTGAATGGACCTAGAGTCTGTCATACAGAGTAAAGTAAGCCAGAAAGAGAAAAACAAATATTGTATATTAATGCATATATGTGGAATCTAGAAAAATGGTACAGACGAACATATTTGCAAGGCAGGAATAGAGATGTAGATGTAGAGAACGGACATGTGGACACAGGGGTGGAAGGAGAGGGTGGGACGAATTGGGAGATTAGGTTTGACATAAACATACTATGATGTGTAAAATAGATAGCTAGTGGGAACTTGCTGTATAGCACAGGGAGCTCAACTCAGTGCTCTGTGACAACCTAGATGGGTGGGATGGGGGGGTGGGGGGGGGTGAAGATGGAGGGGATATAGGTATACATATAGCTGATTCACTTCATTGTACAGTAGAAACTAATACAATATTGTAAAGCAATTATACTCCAGTAAAAAAAAAACAAAACCCAAAAAACATAGTGTTTATTGGTTCTAAAAGATTTTCTGTAGGCTTCTCAGAATTTTCTACATACAAAACCACATCATCTGCAAATAGAGATGGTTTCACTTCTTCCTTTCCCATCTAAATGCCTCAGACTGAAATGCCGTAGACTGAAATTCATATGTTGAAACCAGTATGATGGTACTTGGAGGTGAGGCCTTTGGAAGGTGATTAGGTCATGAGGGCTGTGTCCTCATGGGATTAGTGCTTTTATACAAGATACTCTAGAGAGCTTCCTCATCCCTTCCTCCAGGTTAGGTTACAGTGAAAGATAGCTGTCTCTGAAGCAGGAAATAGGCCCTCACCAGACACCACATCTGCTTGTGCCTTCATCTTGGACTTCCCAGCCTCCAGAACTATAAGAAATTTCCAAATATCTGTTCTTTAGAAGCCACCCAGTCTATGGTATTTTGCATACCAGCCTGAATAAACTAAGACATAAAATTCTGCTTACTTACAGTTGGTTATGTTCTACAAAGTCAACTCAAACACCGAATCAGCAAATATGGATCTGCTGTTCCTAAGAGAAATATAGGGTTAGGATCCCACTAGTCTCATATGACACTTTTCCATCAACCAATCCATACATAGTCTTTTTTATATGTATTTTTGTTTAAAGACACCTGATTTAATTTATACTGTTGATTCGTTCATGAATTCTCAGTCACCAGAACATAGCTCATGCCTGAATGAAGTTCGTATAACACACATATTTTCTCCCCAAGACACATCGTAGTGTTTTTGCACTTAGAAACACCAGTCAGCCCTTCAGCACTACTCTGGGGGCCACTTTAAACAGTAAAATCACCAACAAAAAGCACAAAAATGCTTAAAATGTGGCATTAAATAGACATCGAAAAGGAGTTTACAGTATGAGAGCTGAAATAAGAAGGAAAAGTGTCCCCTTGTTTGACCTCAGCTGGGAACATTTGTGTTGGCCACTCAGATGTCAGCTGCTCGGCACATTTCTGTGAATGACCACAAAAGCACAGCAAGTGTTGATTTTGGAGTTACACATAAATTTTAACAAGCAAGTGGATATGCAAATATGGCATCCATGAATAATGAGGATTGACTGTACATTGATTGATTTTTGTATATTAAACCAACCTGCATTCCTATGATAGGTCTAACTTGGTCATGGTGTAGAATCCTTTAAATGTGCTGCTGGATTCTGTTTATGAGGTTTTTTACTGAGGATTTTTTGAATCTATAGTTGGCCCACCATATCTTAGGGTTTGAATCAGTGGATTCAAACAAACGAGGATGGGAAATATTTGAAAAAAATTCCAGAAAATTCTGAAAAGCAAAACTTGAATTTGCTGCACCAGCAACTATTTACATAGCCTTTACACTGTATAAGGTATTATAAGTAATCTAGAGATGATTTAAAGTGTACAGAAGGATGTGTGTAAGTTATATACAAATACTATACCATTTTATATACAGGACTGAAGCATCCTCAGATTTTGGTATCCATGGGGGTGGGGGGGCTGGAGGGAGTGTGTCCTAGAACTAATACTCCAAGGATACTGAAGGATGACTGTATATTCATAAGAGATGTTGGTCTGTAGTTCTGTTTTCTTGTGATAGTTTTTTCTGGTTTTGGTATCAGAGTAATTCTGGCCTCACAGAATGAAATGGGAATTGTTCCCTCATGTTCTAATTTTTGAAGGGTTTGTGAGGAATTAGTGTTAATTCTTTAAATTTTTGGTAGAAGTCACCAGTGAAACCATTAGGTCCAGGGCTTTTCTACGTGGATGGGTTTGATTACTGATTCAATCTCTCTATTTGTCAGGGGTCTATTCAGATTTCCTATTTCTCCTTGAGTCAGTTTGGTGTCTTTCTAGGAATTGGTCCATCTCTTCCAGGTTATCCAATGTGTTGGTGTACAATTGTTCATAGTATGCCTTTATAATCTTTTTTACTTCTCTAAGATTGGCAGTAATATCCCCTCTTTCATTTCTGATTTTAGTAATATGATTTTTCTTTCTGTTTTTTCTTAGTCTAAGCGTTCATCTATTTTGCTGGTCATTTAAAAGAACCAATTTCTTGTTTCAATGATTTTCTCTATTTTATTTTCTATTTCTTATATTTCTGCTCTAACCTTTATTATTTCCTTCCTTCTGCTTGCTTTGTTTCTTAAGTTTCTTAAATGGGATGTTTCTAAAAAACAGAACAGGTCCCTCCCTTCCTCAAAACCCTGCCATGGCTCCTCCCTTTTCACTGTGGCCCAGAAGAACCCCAGTGAGCTGGCTGTAGACACCTCCCCTACCTTTTCTCCTGGGACTCCCCTCAACCCATTGTGCTGCAGGGATATTGTTCCTCTTGTAATCCCCCTGATGAGGCACATGTGTTCCTACCTCAGAGTGTAAATGCCCTGCAAGGAGGCATGTCACATGTATCAGCTTACGGGCAACCCCTCACAGAGGCCTTCTGGGGCCACTCTGGTTTCTACCCATCCAGAACTTCCCACCCCATCACCTCTTTTATTCCCAGGACTCATCACCATCTGATCTAATCTTGTTTATTTGCTTCCTTTACAACCTATACTCCGCCATGTGGGCAGCTGAGCTGGATCTTCCACAGAGCCCCCATCACACCCAATTGTCCTTGTCACTGTCTACTTCCACTGCCCTTAATCTTACCAAAACCAACCAGCTCTTCCCTGCCACTGAGCAGGGAGATCCTTCTGACCGCTCGTCTCCCCTAGCCACTCCTCCCATCCAGGGCCTTGTTTCATTTCCACACAAGCTCTCCAAAGCCAGCCTTATCTTGTCTACTTGTTTCCCACCTCTTCCAAAATGTAAGCTCTGTGGCATCCCAGGGCCAGAGCAGCAGGCTGAGTGTTCAATGATCAGGTATGGCCACTGCTGCTCCCTGCCAGCCTAGAAGACCCAGTGATTCTGATTGTGTCCAGCTGGACAGCCAGTGTGGATGTGTGAGGGTTCCCTGACCTTAGAGGCCTTCCCAGAGCCAGAGGTGATCCACCAGTGATGCTCTCCTCAGTGGTGGCAGGGTCATTGATAATGTGACCTCCCACATGTCCCCACCTGGGGACCCTCACAACCTCCAGAGGCTGAATGGCTCTCAGACAAGTCACAGATTGCGCCAGGTCACTGAGTCCAAGGTGGGTGGCCCACTGGGGTCCAAATCCAACCCCCTCCACCACCTCCCAGCCAGGTTCTAGGGTTCTTAGGTGGGGGCGGGGGTTTTGCAGACCTACTCTGACCCCTCTCCCTTCTCAGTTTCTCTGGGCCTCTGCCTCACTCAACTTCACAGGGACTCAGCCCTCCTCCTCAGCCCTCTTGCTGTGCGGGGAGGGAGCAGGAGGTTGAAGGAGGGGAGGAGAGGGTGAGAAGGGCCTTGGGGGGAAACTCCTGCCAGACCCTCCCCCATTCTCCCCCCAGAGCCCCATCCCCTGCCTGGGCTGCCCTCCCCTGTCCCACTTTCTCTCATCTCTGCACCCCTGTGGACAGATCACATCAGCAGCCAGCACAGGGCATTATGGGACTAAAGGAGCATGCTGAGCACACGCCTGTCCTGAGAGGGACTCCTACCCTTGTCATCACCACCATTACCATCAACCATCAACCCTTACCTCCACCATCACCACCACCACCACCACCATCATCATCACCATCACCAATGCCAGGCCAAGGTGAGGGGTGTGACTTTGATGAGCTCTCAGGAGAGGAGGGAGAGTGTGGGGAGAAAAGAGGTGGCCCCAGGAGGATGGTGCATGGGATGTGCAATGCAGGGAGGACTGAAGTGTGCGGGCTGGGCCGAGAGCAGGCCATACACTTATCAGCGCCCCTGCCCTTGGCAGGGTGGGGTTTCTTGTCACTTGGTGTTTTGCTTTCCAGAGCCCATACCCTAGTAGTGATGTGCCCTGCAAGCATGCAGGCAGATATATGTAAAACTAGCCACTGCACCAGTGAGCTCAGAGCTCCAGGCTGTACACACCACCAAAACCTCCACACAGCAAGAGCCTCTGCTTCTAGAATGATGTTCCAGGGTCAGCAGAGGCCATCATGACAATGTGCAGCTTCAAGGTCAGAGGTCATCACAGCACCCTGCAAGGGGGCTGGAAAAAGAGGTCAGGGAGGCTTTCAGAAATCATTACTCCCACACTCATCCCCCATCTCAGCCAGCCTGTGCCAGGAAATGGGGCCACAGAAGAATGAGGAACCAGACAGATGAGGTTCCTGTCCTCAAGCATGGGGCTCATGTTCTTGCGAGGGAGACAGAATAAACAAATGAACCAGACGGTTCTGGACACAGGCACTATTCCCCTCCACCAGGAAGCCTACACAACCCACTGAACCAACCTTAGCCACTGGGGGCAGACACCCAAAACAATGGGAATTATGAACCAGCAGCCTGCGAAAAGGAGACCCCAAACACAGTAAGTTAAGCAAAATGAGAAGACAGAAAAACACACAGCAGATGAAGGAGCAAGGCAAAAACCCACCAGACCTAACAAATGAAGAGGAAATAGGCAGTCTACCTGAAAAAGAATTCAGAATAATGATAGTAAAGATGATTCAAAATCTTGGAAATAGAATAGAGAAAATACAAGAAACGTTTAACAAGGACCTAGAAGAACTAAAGAGCAAACAAACAGTGATGAACAACACAATAAATGAAATTAAAAATTCTCTAGAAGGGATCAATAGCAGAATAACTGAGGCAGAAGAACGGATAAGTGACCTGGAAGATAAAATAGTGGAAATAACTACTGCAGAGAAGAATAAAGAAAAAAGAATGAAAAGAACTGAGGACAGTCTCAGAGACCTCCAGGACAACATTAAATGCACCAATATTCGAATTATAGGGGTCCCAGAAGAAGAAGAGAAAAAGAAAGGGACTGAGAAAATATTTGAAGAGATTATGGTTGAAAATTTCCCTAATATGGGAAAGGAAATAGTTAATCAAGTCCAGAAAGCACAGAGAGTCCCATACAGGATAAATCCAAGGGAAGAACACGCCAAGACACATATTAATCAAACTATCAAAAATTAAATGCAAAGAAAAAATATTAAAAGCAGCAAGGGAAAAACAACAAATAACACACAAGGGAATCCCCATAAGGTTAACAGCTGATCTTTCAGCAGAAACTCTGAAAGCCAGAAGGCAGTGGCAGGACATGTTTAAAGTGATGAAGGAGAAAAACCTACAACCAAGATTGCTCTACCCAGTAAGGATCTCATTCAGATTTGATGGAGAAATTAAAACCCTTACAGACAAGCAAAAGCTAAGAGAATTCAGCACCACAAAACCAGCTTTACAACAAATGCTAAAGGAACTTCTCTAGGCAAGAAACACAAGAGAAGGAAAAGACCTACAATAACAAACCCAAAGCAATTGAGAAAATGGTAATAGGAACATACATATCGATAATTACCTTAAAAGTAAATGGATTAAATGCTCCCACCAAAAGACATAGACTGGCTGAATGGATACAAAAAAAAGACCCGTATATATGCTGTCTGCAAGAGACCCACTTCAGACCTAGGGACACATACAGACTGAAAGTGAGGGGATGGAAAAAGCTATTCCATGCAAATGGAAATCAAAAGAAAGCTGGAGTAGCAATACTCATATCAGAATTTCTGGAGACTGAAAGTTCAATGAAGAAAGCAAAATAAGGGAAGGTGATGGCGATGTGGGAGGGAGGGAGGCTCTGACCTGCAGAGAATGGGAAAGGCTGAGGGAACAGCAGGCACAAAGGCCCCGAGGCAGGAACAGAGATGCTTGTGACCTGAGCAGGAGGCTGAGGCCGTCCTGGAGTCCTTGTCAGCCTAGAAGAGTCTGGGTTCTGTTCTAAGAGCTGTGGAAAGCCCTTATAGGGAGGACAGATGACTTACAGGTTGAAAGGCTTCTGGCTGTTGGGTGGGGATGCACTGCAGGGAGCCTTGAAGGATGAGGGTATAAGCAGCAGAACATAGGAAAAGGTAGCATGAGTCAAGGGGGCCAGTGCAGAGGTGGTGGGAGTGGCCTGGAGTGAGAGCTGGGGACCAACCGAAAGTTCCCAACTTGAACATAGGGAAGGATAAAATTCATCCTGACCGTGATGGGAAGCAGGAAAGGGGCTGAGCAGCGTGAGGCTTTGCCCATCTCCTGAGGTTGACCCAGATGGCAGAGGAGGAGAGAGGAGAGGGCAGAGACGGTGGGGCAAGACAGAGAGGGACAAAAGGAAAGGGGAGAAAGGGAAGTCATCACAAAGAGCCCCTGGATGGAGTGCGGTGTTAAAAAGCATTCTGAGTCCAGGTTCTGGACCCACAGGGAGGTGTCCTGAGACCTGTGCTGTCAGTGTTGATAGGGGACTGTGCGGCCATGACTGTGGGCCCTGCCTGCCTCTCTCATAGGGGATCCCAGCTCTGTGCACAGAGCTGCCACAACACTCACTGTCGACTGTCAAAAGGCCCCTGAGCCTGAGCCCCAGCCCTTTATCAATGAGCTCAGTGGCCTTAGGAAAGCCTCAGTTTCCCTGTCTGTAAAATGGGCATCCCCTAACCTTGAGCACTTGAGAAGAAGCCATGTGGATCCAGTGAGATTGGCAGCACCCTGGGGATGTAGGTGCATTCTTCACACCAAGGGAGGGATGGAGACCTGCTCCCCCTGCCTGACCCTGCAGACATGCACCTTTGTGAAGACAGAACTGACACCCCCAGTTTCGTGACTCTGGGTCAGAAGAAAAGTAATAAGCCAATCCCAAGGCTGGGTGAGGGCCCTCGGGGTTCCCGCCCTGGCTCTGCCCCTTGTTTTGTGGCCTGGGCAGATGAGAGACTCATACGAATTGGCACCTGGAAGGCCCAGTGCCTGCTGCAGTGAGCACCCCATACCGCCCCTTCATTCACTGTCCCACCTGTCCATACCCCCCAAGAAGCCCCTCCCCCTTAAGTGGAGACCACATGCCTCCTG